AATGTAGTTGACTGTGTTTACCACAAATTCACTAAAGCAGAGGACCCATGCAGGATCTGAGCATTTTGATAGAAAGGCATATGTTGTTTTATTGTGCTTTTTTTTTTTTAACTGTACTTTGCAGATATTGCATTTTTTTTTTTACAAACTGAAGGTTTATGGTAACCCTGGCTTGAGGAAGTCTGTGGTGTCGTTTTCCCAACAACTTGGAATCAATTCATGTCTCTGTGTCACATTTTGGTGAGTATTGCAAATATTTCATGAAAGGAAGAGTTAATTGATGTGGCAAACTTCATTGTTGTCTTATTTTCAGAAAAAATCACAGCTACCCCAACCTTCAGCAACCACTATCCTGATAAGTCAACAGACATCAACACTGAGGCAAGACTTGTCACCAGCAAAAATAATGCAACTTGCTGAAGGCTCAGATGATGATGGTATTTTAGCTATGATTTTAGCAACATAGCTTTTTTTGTTTTTTTTTTTTCCTTTCTGTATAGCTGGGTCATCTAGGTTGCCAAGGCTGGTCTCAAACTCTTGGGCTCAAGGGAATCCTCCTGCCTTGGCCTCCCAAAATGCAAGGATTACAGGCATGAGTTGCCATGCTTGGCTATTTTAAAGTATTTTTTAGGTAAGGTATGTGCATTTTAGACATAATGCTATTGTATATTTAATAGACTATACTATAGTGTAAACATAACTTCTGTATATACTGGGAAACTAAACAATTTGTGTGACTCACTTTATTTTGATATTTGTTCTATCGTGAGACCAGAAATTAAACTTAAAATATCTCTGAGGTGGCTGGGCAGCGGTGGCTCACGCCTATAATTCTAGCACTTTGGGAAGCTGAGACAGGTGGATCACAAGGTCAAGAGATCAAGACCATCCTGGTCAACCTGGTGAAACCTCGTCTCTACTAAAAATACAAAAACTAGCTGGGCATGGTGGCACACACCTGTAGCCCCAGCTACTTGGGAGGCTGAAGGAAGAGAATTGCTTGAACCCAGTAGGCGGAGGTTGTGGTGAGCTGAGATTGTGCCATTGCACTCCAGCCTGGGTAACAAGAGTGAAACCCCATCTCAAAAAAAAAAAAAAAAATCTCTGAGGTATGCCTGTATATGTTTCATCATTGATTTTCCTGCACAGCCAGAGAAGAGTGCCTAGTATGAACTATTAGCTTTTTGGGTTTCTTTTTAATGGATCTGATATTCTTCAACACCAATAAAACTTATACATTATAAAAAAAGGTTTCAAAATTTTTAAAAATTCTTAATATTTTTTTGATTGTCAAATCATGATTGAATACATTTATGCGGTCTAATATGATGTTTTGATATGTACAGATTTATGATGTGGCATGATTAAATAGAGATAACTCACATATCTGTCACCTACTTGTCTATCTTTTTTTATGGTGACACATTTGAAACATGAAGAAATGTTTTTGATATGAGAACAAATGGATAATTTATTTAAATTCTTTGCTAGAGTGAAATGTTATTCAGAAGCTGTGAAATCTGTTCATAATAACACCTTTTGCAGAATAAAACAAGATAAAATAATTTAGAAGTTAAGAAAGAAAGCAGAGAGAGGGAGAAAGAGAATTTGGTATTCAGGTCATCAGATGAGGGCATTCTGCAAATAATCACACCAATAATACTTAGTTATATAATACATTTTGTTTTTTAAGTCTACTATAATGCTATATATCAGTTATCTAGAAACTTCATTTATAAAGAAAGACTTTATATAATAACAGCAATGATAACTATCACTTATTGTATTTAAAAAATCCTCTCTGCAGTCCCATGAGGCAAGAACTTTGATGATCTCCATTTCTAAGAGGGAACTGAGCCACAGGGATTAAGTCATATAGCAAGTGAACTGAGAAGCTAAGTGTGTTCTCTCTCTCTCTCTCTTTTTTTTTTTTTTGAGATGGAGTCTTGCTCTGTCATCCAGGCTGAAGTGCAGTGGCGTGATCTCTGCTCACTGTAATGCCACCTCACAGGTTCAAGCAATTATTCTGCCTCAGCCTCCCAAGTAACTGAGACTACAGGTGTGTGCCACCATGCCCGGCTACTTTTTATATTTTTAGTAGAGACAGGGTTTTACCACATTGGCCAGGATTGTCTCAAACTCTTGACCTCGTGATCCGCCTGCCCTGGCCTCCCAAAAGTGCTGGGATTACAGGTGTGAGCCACTGTGCCTGGCCTAAGTACGTTCTCTTAACCATTATACATACTGGTTACCTATGAAGTAGATGGGAGGAATGAAGAAAAAACGAGTTGAAAATAGGAAGGAAATTAGGAAAACAAGGAGAGAGAAAGACAAAGGCAGAAGAGGCTGGAAAAGGCCTTTTGATGAAGTTGGCAAAGAAAGAGTATGAAATTTCCCTTATGCTAAGTCCTGCTTCCCCTAGTAACTGATTATTGCATGCCATACTACCCCTTTGGTGTTCAAGGTCTAAGTGTAGCATTTTAGCTATAATCCCCCATCTTTACAAAAATATAGCTCTATCATATTTTTAAAATCTTTCAAAACATATGATTGTATCTTCACAAAACCTATCTGTATCTGCCCGAGTCTCAGGCCACTCTGTTGCTTTTAAAATTCATCAGCAGAAACAGATTTATGTATGCTGGGAGCTGATTTATTGCAAGGAAAATATCATAGTTATCTGCCATTAACATTTAGATTTGAACAAAGATATTTTGTGACAACGCTCTAATTCAAAGGCATTTTCGAGCTCATGCCTTAGAGTTCATGCTTAGAAGATTCTCTCAGGTAGGCAGGAGGAAGATAGAGCTTGGGGCATTCCTAAGACCTTATCCATTAATTAAGTAGCAACTGTCAAATGTCTTCCTCTAAAGTGCACTGCATTTGACCCACCTACAATTCAATGAGGATTATATATTCCTATTTTACAGGTAAAGAAACCAACTCAGATATATTAAGACTGGATTAGTAGGTACAAAGTAAAGACTTGACCCCAGGAGTCGAGACTATATATATAATCCCCTATTTCACTACTGCCTTCCCAGGCATAGAGGTAACTCTGAAAGCCCAAGATCCAATCAGTTTATGATCAAACATCAAGTCGTTGCCAAACAGGTTAAGCTGACAAGAAATATAGTGAGGAATAATCTATCACTATAAAGTAGTCATGATGAATTTATTAACTTTTTAAACTAAAACCAAGTCTAAACGTTGTTTTCAGAATCAAGTAAATTTTTAAATCAACTTTTTCCAGGCTTGCTGACAAATGCATTGACAATTGCCAAAGGCATTAAATCTGTCTGCAGCACACTAAAGTCTAATTATGATAGCTGGGTAAATACCTACTTGTAGAGTGGTAGCAATGACATAGTGTCAAGGATTCAGGTGATTAGTTTGTATTGATAATCTTAGTAGGGTAATACCGCAGCATCCTTTCAATCTTTCCTGTATTCAAAGTATATGTTGAAACATAAAAATTCCATTATAAAAACTGTGGGTGGAAATCCTCCACATTATATGTCTTTGGGCCTGCACAGGATGCTTTTTTGATTTGAGGTGGCTGATAGAGGCCTAAATAAGACTTTTGTCTCCATAGGATGGTCAATTTCATTATTTTCTGACATTTATTAGCTTACTATTAATCTCTGTCAAGTGTCTTGGGCAAACATAATATTGATTGGAAGAACTGGTTAGATACATTGAGAAAATAGCAGTATAAATGCATAACTGCTAGGAGCAATGCTCCACACTCCTGTTACCAAAGTGTTCCAGGAAACAGCAGCATTAGCCTCACCTGAGAATTTGTTAAAAAGGTAAATGTTTCTACCCTAGACATACTGAATCAGAAACATAGCATTAAACACCTCTCCACATGATCTTATTGCAAACTGAGGTTTGAGAACTTCTACTCTAAGTTGATCGCTAGAGAGTATCATCTTCCATTTTAAAAGATATTACAGGTTAAGTATCCCTCATCCAAAATGCTAAGGACCAGAAATGTTTCAGATTTTGTAGTATTTATACATACATAAATCGAAGACAAGACCCAGGTCTAAACATGAAATTCATTTATGTTTTATACACACCTAAACACATAACCTGAAGGTAATTCTATAAAATATTTTAAATAATTTTATGCATGAGACAAAGTTTTGACCATGTCTGACTGCAACCCATCACATGAGGTCAGGTGCAGCCTTTTCCACATGTGGCAATCACGTTGGCACTCAAAAAGTTTTGGATTTTGGAAGGATTTTAAATTTCAGATTTTTTGATTAGGGATTGTCAAATTATATTTTAAATTATAAAAATTGTGGTTGTTACAGACAATATTTGTGCCCCTTGCAAAATGCATGTGTTAAAATCCTAACTCCTAATATGATGGAAGGAAGGAAAATGAGGCCTTTGGTAGGATGGAGGCCTCATGAATGGGATTAATGCTCTTATAAAAGAGATTGTGGGAGCCCTCTCACCCCTTCTGCCATGTGAAGGCACAAAGAGAAGACAGCTCTACAAAACTAAAAGCAGGATCTAACCAGACACTGAATCTGCTGGTACCTTGATTTTGAAGTTCCCAGCCTTCACAACTGTGAGAAGTAAATTTTTGTGGCTGGGTGTGCTGGCTCACCCAGCACTTTGAGAGGCTGAGGCAGGTGAATCACTTGAGGCAGGAGTTTAAGATCAGTCTGGCCATCATGGTAAAACCCTGTCTCTACTAAAAACATAAAAATTAGCCAGGCATGGTGGTGCTCACCTGTAATCCCAGCTACTTGAGGCAAGAGAGTCATTTAAACCCAGGTTGCGGTGAGCCAAGATGTGCCACTGCACTACAGCCTGGGAGAAAGAGCAAGACTCCATCTCTAAATACATAAATAAATAAATAAATAAATAAAATATTTTTGTTATTTAACCCACTTGGCCTATGACAGATTGTTATAACAGACTAAATGGACTAAGACACTAGTATATCACAAAATTTGCTTCAAAATATAATTGCTTACCACATGCCCACATATCCACTGGTTTTCCATAAGGATCTTTACGTAAAACTTCTGGAGAAAGATATCCAGGTGTGCCAGCAAAACCTATGGAAAAGAGGTATTAATGAGTCACAGTTGATTTGACAAAACAATATGAAATGAAAAACAAAGAAAGAAAATTTTGGGGGGGCTTCTTTATCTGATGTTTTTCAAGATACAGCAAGGTTCTCAGAGCACTAAATAGTGTAGACTTTCTCTTTATAGAAATATCAACATTAGTTTGTCCTGTCCTGTAGCTCATTTGAAAAAAATACATCTTTTTTCCAGATATGAAGGCCAATCTACTGTGCTGTAAAGTCACTGTGTACTCTTAGGACCACTTTTGCTTAGCAATTCTTATTGTCCTTTATGTATACGAGAGTTAAAACTACACCTGAAAAGAAATATAGAGAACTCACCAGGAGAAGAGATAAGTCCAAAATATATCAAAGAGTTCCATCTGTACTAATAAATAATCAGTATGTACTTGTAATTGGCAACTAAAGAGAAGATGCAGAAATATTCAGATAAATCACTATTGAACAAGTATCAACTAGACATTTAACTTAAGTAGGAGATGTCATGAGAAAAACTAGATGGCGAAAGAAAACAGTTTGTCAGTGCTTCTGTCCTCTCCACTCTCACTGTCCTTCTCTAACTCTAGAGTTGACAGGCTCTGAAACTCCAATCAGAAGCTGACTACTAAAGTCCAGATTAAATCCAATGTCCTCAGTTTACACTTTCAGATCCTCTATCATCTGGTTTCCCTTCATTCATCCAACACGAATTCATTCTCCTTCTGAGCCCTTGACCTGACTAATCCTTTTAAGGTCTTTTAAAAATGGACTTCTCATTGTCATCCTTGATACTACTTTTTCTGTTCCTTGAATCCTCAATATTTTTTCTCTACCTGTTTTCTAACAGAGAATGGCTCTAAGTTATTTCCATCTTAGAACTCTCCTTAGCTACCTACAGTTCTCAGTGATCCCTTCTCACCCTGAATTTCAACCATTCTTTTCTATACAATCTGTACTCTGCTGTCTAAATCAATAAACCCTTAATAATGTATGATTTCAATAACTTAGAATATATGGCCAGAAATAGGAAATGTTAACAATATTTCTCCTAAGCTTCCCTAAGATAAGGAAGTGAGTAAGAAATGAAAAGATCATTTAAAATGTAAATTATTACAAACCTCTTCTGGAGACTAAAATTCTAAGAGAACACCATTATGCTCATTCTTACTTAGTTACAACCAGTGGGGTCCTTATTCCAAGAATAGTGAAGCATGTATCTAAATGCATAGACATTAGGAAACAATGTACAGTACAATGTGACCTCATAAATATAGACATGGTGGGGGGGGGCGGGTAAAACAGATAAGGCCTTCTTTGTGAGAAATTAAATTTGTAGAATATAGGATTATCATAATACATTCCATTCAAAGAAAAAGTAATGAGAGCTTGCCTTTTTAAGGAATAGCATATGTTTCTTACTTTGAAAAATCAATAGGAACATAAAAATAGATAACACAAAGAGAAAAGAGAATTACTGATGGTTAGAAATGTATCCATTGTCACTTAATGGCATAAAAAGAACCTTAATATCTTAAAAAAGAGACATAACAGCAACCAAGCAAAGTAATTCTTCCATGAACCAAGATCTTGGTAGTTATCCTTTTTTTTTCTAGCAGCAACAAAAAGGCTAGAAAGGTATTGCAAATAATATGTCCAGTTCCATAAGAGAAACAGAATATATCTGAATATTTCTTTTTGGTAAACTTTCTAGCCATCTTATCAAGTGTAGGGACAGGGTGTTTACTTCTACCATTTTTGCCCAGTATTCCCACAGACCAGGCTAGAAAGTGAAAAGTAAATATGGGAAAGAACAAACATGTTTAGACTTGAAAAATAATTTTTTGGCTGGGCATGGTGGCTCGTGCCTGTAATCCCAGTACTTTGGGAGGCTGAGGTGGCGGATTACCTGAGGTCAGGAGTTGGAGACAAGCCTGGCCAACATGGTGAAACCCCGTATCTACTAAAAATAAGAAAAATATTAGCTGGGCATGGTGGTGGGCACCTGTAATCCCAGCTTCTCAGGAGGCTGAGGCAGGAGAATTGCTTTAACCCAGGAGATGTAGGTTACAATGAGCCAATATGGTGCTGCTGCACTTCTGCCTGGGTGACAGAGTGAGACTCAATCTCAAAAAAAAAAAAAAAAAAAAAAAGGTAATTTAAAAAAAAGAAAACACATTAAACATCTTCCATAATGCTTTGTATTATCTATTATGTTGTTTTGTATATATATTTTTCTCTTATTTGTAATAGATCTTGTATATTTATTAAAATAAAATGATACAAATGCCTGAAGCTCTGGTATTTCACATAATGAAGAAAGAGTCCTGCTCTTTATAAAAATTAAAATAACAAATCTTTTTCTCCCTAAACACTGATATTACATTTTAAAAGATAAAATTAGTCAAAATATATGGGACTATAATGGCAGAAAATAATGAATAAACACCAAAACAGGTCATTCATTATTAAAACATGCCTTTACTTCTAATATTTAAAATATATCTGGCAGTTCATCTGAAAGAAATGTAGAACACCACATGCCTCATTTTCCCTCAGGTTACCATGAAGATTTGCTTGAACTTGAGAAAAGAAACAGAGAAAAGAAGTATATTCAGTTGGGCGTGGTGGCTCACGCCTGTAATCCCAGCACTTTGGGAGGCCGAGGCAGGTGGATCACGAGGTCAAGAGATCGAGACCATCCTGGTCAACATGGTGAAACCCCGTCTCTACTAAAAATACAAAAAATTAGCTGGGCATGGTGGTGCGTGCCTGTAATCCCAGCTACTCAGGAGGCTGAGGCAGGAGAATTGCCTGAACCCAGGAAGCAGAGGTTGCAGTGAGACGAGATTGCGCCATTGCACTCCAGCCTGGGTAACAAGAGCGAAACTCTGTCTCAAAAAAAAAAAAAAAAGAAGTATATTCTCTGAAGTTTAGATACTATGTTTTTCTATACTTCTAAAATACTGAATTTCCTTAGAACTGAGGATGTTGCTTCTTTTAAAAGTTATTACTCTAATAGGTACCTTAACAATAACTTAATTGTTGATAGCACCATACTTATGAAGTGGAAATTTCGTTGATGAGCTGTCATTGCTTCTTTGGGATGAGCTTGTTTTTAGATATCAGTAACAATTTGAAAATCGCTGGCCTTTTATTCGAATGCTATTGCTTTTACTGACCTGATATTCAGTCTTCTACTCACTGATTCACTAAACAACTTTCACTGAATATGCAAAGAACTATGTCATTGTTTCATACCAAGACAGTTTTGAAAACTTACTGAACATCTTTTATAGCTCACCCAGGTTCCTATAGACTATGTCACTCAATCTTATAACAGTCCTGTGAAGAAGTGTTTATTATCCCATTTACAAAGAGGATAGTGATCTCACAGAGTTAAAGTGACTTGCTCAAAAATCATACAGCTGTTAAGAATCAGAGCCAAGATATAAATTCATATATTCTGATTCAAACAGTAGAATTTTCCCACTACATCTAGCCCTGTTCTCAAACCATATGTGACTTAGCAGAGGAGATAAACCATTAAGCTCAAAAACAGAAGAGATTTAAGGAGCTTGACTCCAACATTATTGTAATCACCAAACATAGTTGCTGAAGTTAATTTGAGCCTCAGACCTCATAACAAAGGCTTCTGTCTTACTCCTGACATCCAGTCACCACCTTATACTAATTTTTGGCAATTATATCCTTGGGCCTAAGTCCCCATTTTTGTATCTTACCTCATACCCCAAGTCTTTCATGAAGTGGGGGTCCTGCTTTGCTCTACACAGGACTTGAGTCCTATCTTTGAACCCAGTGTCTGGGACTTTCATGTTTTCTAAATGGATTCTCTTAGAGTTCATATTTCCTGTCTGCTCTGTGTGTTACTTGGAACTTGCTTCTTGCTTCTATATCCTCCCTAGTCAAAGCTATCATCATGCATGATTTGAACAATTATCTTAGCCTAACTGGGTCCTTGCTTTCAGATTAACTATCCTTAAGTCATCCTTTTTATTTTTTTATTTTTTAATTTTGAGACAGAGTCTCATTCTGTCACCCAGGTTGGAGTGCAGTGGCATGATCTTGGCTCACTACACCTCTGCCTCCCAGAATCAAGTGATTCTCCTGTCTTAGCCTCCCAAGTAGCTGGAATTACAGGTACCACCACTATGCTCAGCTAATTTTTTGTATTTTTCGTAGAGATGGAGTTTCATCATGTTGGCCAGACTGTCTCAAACCCCTGACCTGATGATTTGCCCTGCTTGGCCTCCCAAAGTGCTAGGATTACAGGCATGAGCCACTGCTCCTGGCCCATCTTCTATACTTCTACTGAAATCATTAAATAACACACACCCAGTTATGTCCCTCTCTTCTAAAAATGTTTCACCAGATCCCAAAACCTCTAAGGTGAAATCCAAACCCTTGAAAAAACCGTAAAATCCTTTCCTGCCTCATCAAGTACTACTCACCCCAGTATACTTTAGCTATATCAAACTTCTTGTTTCATTGAAATAGAAAAAATAGTTTCATGCCTCTGAGTCTTTTCATGTGTAGATCCCTCTGTCTGGAATGCCTCAATCTCCTTGCATGATTGTGAACAAAATCCCATTTATGCCCTAGGCAACCATAGTTGTAAAGGCAATTAATTATTGAACCTCTCTCCAGAGGCAGGTCTTTGTACTTCTTCCTGTCTTGTGTTTCCACAGCATCTCACACATTCCTATGTTAAGATACTCCCACCCTGAATGGTAAATAGTTATTGATACAAAAGCCTCAGATCATCGAGGGTCAGGAATTCCTATTTAATATACGTATCTCCAGTATTTGCTTTGCCCATCTCTGTGACAACCTCACTACTTCTGGTTCAACCCCTAACTCCTGTTACAATATATTCTTTCTGTGTTAACTATACTCTTTTCCAGGATACAGAAATCATCTGAATCTCTAATTTACAGACCTAATCTGGTCCTACCTTCTTTCAGTTTGCAGTTAATGGGAAAAAGATTATTAAAATGTTAAAATAGTATAAACCAAATGACAAGTTTGGAAGTATTAAGTTCTTTTGGGATTGGAAGGTAAAAAAACAATGTAAAAGGTAACATTAAACATAGAAGGGACTTCAAACAAGAATAACTGTCAGGTACTACTGAAAAAGTACAGGCAGCAGAAACTGGGGTCCCACATTAGGTTGCCAGGAAGGCTTGGCGCACATTCACTCCCAGTAACAGCTGGGGCAGCTAAGAGAGATGTGGTGAATCCTGGAAGCCATATGTACATCTTGGGAGATGTGTAAGTTGGGGATCCACAGAAGCATTTGCATATAAAACAAAAGAAATCGCATGGTTTTAGTCCTCTTTCTACTTCTTCTTGTTGCTCAGAGGAAAAGAAATCAGAAGTGAAGGATATTTAAAAAATTAACCTCAACACACTTGAAGTCAGAAGAGAAGTAAGACAGGCTTGGGGAAAGGCTGTATTTTAGAACTCTACATGAGAAGTGGATTGGATATTGGGAAATGGCAGAGAGATGTATCAGAAAATTAATCGGTAAAATAATTTATTCAGGCTGAATATTAAAACAAATATAAGTTTGGTTAGAAATACTGTAAGTTAATTTAGAGTTGATTTCTTCCTTAATTGTAAAGAAGCAGAAATTTCATCATATAAAAATTTCCAAATTGTCAGAATTTTTGAGAGGAAAGTGGCATGTTGAAGAAATATAAAATAACTAAGTTGAAATACACACATACATATATGCTTCATAATTTTTAAACAATCTTTAATTCATAAATCGTAAATTATCATATGTGAAATATCCTATCCTGTGTTTCTTGAGCATCTAGTACTTACATAGCAGTTTTTGGCCTCATATGAGGTTGTATGTAAACAATCAACTTTCAAATAAATAAAGTACTCTCTGAATGTTGTAATCCTCTAATTAATTCTTACTACATAATCCACTTTCTCACTCATCCTTTGAGAAAAAAAGTATATGTCTTGTTGTTCTCCTATTATTTTCCCTTAAATTATTTCTAGATTATATACTCTTTCATGTCAATAAAATTAAGTGCTCATAAAAGTAAAATATCTTAAAATTAGGCAAATCATTGTTAGGATAAACACTTCCATTTTATTTTGGCTAGGAAGCGGGATTAGGAGCCAGAAGTGGGAAGCCAGAAGACTACAGGTAGCATGAAGCAGAGACTGTACTCACCAAACCACGCCTGCTGGTCGCCTTGAACTTCTATGGCTAAGCCAAAGTCTGCCAATTTCACAGCTGCTCCCTTGGATTTGCTAGCTAAAAGCAAATTCTCAGGCTTTATTTAGAAAGAAAAAAAAAAAGAGACTGAAGTGAGAACCTATTTTAAGAGACTATTCAAAACTAACATTTTACAGGATTAGGGGGAAAAAAATTCATGCACTGTCATCTCTCCCGGAGACTGCCATTCCTAAATCCCAGGGAAAATGCAGTTAGAAAATGATTAAATATTATCATGTGTGCAGGCTTCAGACAGATGCATAACTGTCCTAGAGAGATACTCGGTAGAAGAGAGAATATACTTGGAGAGGGATCAAATGAATGAGAGCACCTGTCTTGACCTGCTCACATGTTTCCAAGGACTGTTCAGGATTCAGACTTGGCCATGGACATTGACTTAGAAGCCTGACAGAACACAGACATTTTCAGCAGAAGGAAACTTGGCAAAATAATAACAAGAGTTGGACCAATCTACAGACATTTGGCAAATGAAACTGTGCAAATTAAATCCTAGTTAACTTCAAGAGTTTGGACCCAAATGTAGTGATTTTGATTCCTCAATGTTTCCAAACAATTTTGGTACAAATTTTGGATACTGACTCTGAATATGTATTAAAATTGCTGTCTTTAAGAATCTGTTTATTCTTAAAGACAGAAAGAGTATACTACTATTTGCCAAATGTTATAGTCAGCTTTTTTTCTTTATAAACCAGCTTTTTAAACATAATTTACATTTCTTCAACATATGAAATATATTCAGGGCATTACTTATATATTTATTCTTCTATCTCAGAATACTATGAAAAAGATATATTTTTATTTTATTGGTTGTTTATCATTATGCAAGGGTTGATAACTCAGGCTGTGTCTATACCACTGTTTCCCAACCAATGCATCAAGACACATTAGTACTTTCAGAATAAGCACCAGGGCCCAGTCTTCAATTTCCATGAATCTCCTTTGCGGATTTTAATAAATGAAGATGGTCAGGAAAAGGAGCCTGATTAATATATACAGTTAAGGATATACAACTCCAAACTTGATAAATATATTGGGTTAGAATGTATATGAGAAAGTGGTTCAAAGTCTTCCTATTTGGGGACAAAATCCAGCGAATTTAGAGGTGTGTCTCAGACTGAAAGAAGTTGGGAAACAATGGACTCTACAAGTATCAAAACAATTGTCTGAAAATCTAAAATTCAGTCAATCAAATTCATTTTGTTTACATGTTAATAAACAAGTAATGTCATGCTTTAAAAATCAAATTGGCTATATTTTTCTTACTAAATCCGTCAATTCTGTTGGTTGTTTTGACCTTGTGTAAACACAGCCTAAACCAGTATCTAATTTATTAATTAAGCCAGCCATGCAAATTAGCAAAGACCCATAACCGGAACGTGGAAGAAATTAGGTTAAATCTAAAAGAAATTAGAGTGTTGGTAAGTTTTAATCAAGTACCAGACATCTTCAGGCTATAGTTGCTCACTGCCATCAGATTCATTACTATTATGATGATTGGTAAATGTGAGAAAACTTTTCTAATTTTGTGGGCTGATAGATATTTTTAACCACCTCAATACTAAATACGTAATTTAATTTGGAGTATGGGATGAAGATATCTCAAGAATATAAAAGACTTTCATGCTGAAATTACTTTTAGTGAAACCAAACATTTGAAATTATTTGGAACTCTGTTTATCAATATACTACAGTATCTACTCATGTTAAATTATTTTCATTTGACATTTTATTTTTGTAACTAAAATTTATGATCTACCATATTCATGTGTTTTCTAATTTGATCAAGAAGTTAAGTTTCAGCTATTATTGTGGAAAAATTAACTTGGAAAAACCACAACAAACTGTAAGCAATAGCTGATTCTAATTCTTTCTTCACTTTCAAAAGCATTGGCATGTCGGAGATTTCTGTTAATACACATCTGTCCTAATTTGTCAACCACAAGAGTTTCAATCACTTTAGAAATCACATTTTAGGTATTTGAATTCAAGTGCTAAGTTTGTTGAGCAATTGTCAACGTCACTGATAAATAAACTTTTAAAAAATTGAGTGTGTTTTTTACTGTTATCACTAAATGAAAAAGTTGCTGGGCAGGTCTGTATGCATTATGCCTCAAGCACCAAGTGTGCTGATTCAGAAGAAATGGAACACCTAGGAGTTTTATCATGCATGACCTCTGAATGACTGGGGCAGATATTCATAACTAAAGAAGGCCTCACTGTAGGAACTTTGTGAGTCATCCAGAACATAGTAAATCCATCTGGACCAGAGTTGTACCTTATACTGATGAAGACTGTTCAGCTGCAGTTATGTACAGGAAAAGGCAGGGATATTTGAAGGTGACTGTAGATTTAACAGTTAAGAGACTAACATGATTTCACGTTTATGTATATTTTTAGGCAAACCTAAAATACAGAATTATATAATGAAAATTAAAAAATTAGGATGATTACTAAAATTTAGGATCTAAAATGAACTTACATAATGAAAACTAAAAAGTTTAGGATGATGAGCTTATGGGATTATTTACTTTTTAATATTTCATCACAAGATTGCTTTAAAGGGCAGCTCTAATGAAACATAAAGAATAATCACACAAGTTTGATTTCTATATAACTCTGGTATATATTAGTTTAAATAATCCTCCTACAATGTTTTGTGAGAGTGTGGGAGGCTTAATCACTAAGACTTTCTAAAGCAACATTTTAATCAGGACAAGCAAATTTATTCTAATTTTCTTGAATTACTACCACTCATATAGCTTCCAAGTTAAAAATATATTGTACTACAAATTTTGTTGGCAAGGTTAGTTTAATTCTGAATGCCTACAGAAAGGAAGATAATTTGCAGATATAGTCCACCCAAGGTAAAAGGGTAGAATTTCTCATCTAATTAATGATTACCTCCTTAGAAAAGACCACTACTATACAATTATTTGGTATTACTCCACTATTTTGATTTTCTGACACGAATCAGATAGGTAAGATCAGAAACCCAGGTTTTCCAATGTAGTTAGCTGACTATGGAGCACAGCACTGTGAGGGAAACAGGCAGGGTGATGATCTAGAAAGAATGTGAAGATCTGAGTTCATGTCCTGGCTCTAGTTGTTATTACCTATGTGGACTTGGGCAACTCATAGATGCCTGGAGTTAATTAATTAGTTCCTTAATCTCTCAAATGAACATTATAAGGGTACTAAATTATGTCTCATAACAGTTTCTATGGAATGATAAAATCACACTGGGTTTTATCACAGAAGCTCTGTCCTCTATGGTAACAACATACACATTAGTGATTAGCTATTACATTCCAGTGCAGCTGGCCATTTCACTGTAGAGAACATTTAATATTTATAACTTGAGGAATGTCTTTATTAATGACGCCAACTTAATGGAATCTACTACGTTAGTCTTTAGATATTGAGAGGATCTCTAGTTTCTTACAATGCAATCCTTTTCTAGGTTGGTTTTTAAATAGAGTATACAGACATTCTTACACATAGGTTCCATCCCCACCCCCATTGCTTCCTAATGATGCAGGATTTTCCATGACATCTGGTCTCAGTGTCAACAACCATTTATAGCATATCAGCTGTAATGAGCAGCAACTGTTTGCAAGTTTTGTTCCGTACTTTAATATGAATACAATGGCAACTTCTTTCAACATGTTTCAAGATTTTCTTGAAACTGTTCAAATGCCCGAAAGTACACAGGCAGGTTGCTGGAATCACTTTCAGAACTGGAAGAGACTTGGGAGATAAAGTAATTCAAACCTTTCAGTGTCTACATGAGGTAGGAAGGCCCAAAAAGACGAAGCTGAGACTTGAAGTTAGATTTTCTAATTCCTTCCTTTTAAAGATGTGATACTAAAGAAATGCCTCCAATTATATGAAAACAGTTATTTTTAAAAGGTAGTCCATTCAGTAGATGTTTTTAGAAGAATTTGAAGCACGCAAAAATATTTACTACCCATATCCAAAACTTATGAAAAAAACATAGTTTTAACCTTGCTTCACCAATTATGATCTTTATTAAGAAACTGATTCGGCAAAGGCAATGACCTTTAGCATTAACCACATTAGGCTTTTATTTGTGCACATAGTTGATAACCATCTAAAAGACTCAACCATTAGGAATATATATGTAAAATCATGTGTGTTTTACTTCTTTTTAAATTTTTGAATATTATGAAAAGTTCAAATTACTAATTTTAATATTCTATATTATTTCTTACATTCCTTTGGGTATTATTTTTTAAGGAGTAAAAATTGTCTTTTAAAATTTATTTCCTTGATTGGAGAATCTCACTCTTTTAACAGAAAACCATTCTCTGCTTTGGTGTGTTTTCTGTCACTTATCTTTTGCCAAAGAAGGTGCAAATGAAGTTCCCCAAAATAAACTATATTTTTTTAGTTTTGCATGAATTGAAAAGCTTGAATGTCAGGCTCACTTGTCTCATTTATATACATGGTACAAGTGACTTTAGCTTTTATTTTTGTAAGAAATTAATGCCTGAATTCATCTACTTAGCACAAAGAGTTTCCAGTAGATGTATATGCTATAAGTTTGCAACTAGAAAGTACTCTTTCTATTCATAAGAATCATTTTGTATTCCATTCCTGTTTATTCATTTACTTCTACATTGTCAGCACACACTGTTGGGTAGACTGAAAGAACCACAGTGTAACTCCAGTTGGATATTGCAATTATCTACAGCTTCTCCACTGTCTGACAAACACTAGGCACTCAATAAAGAAACACTGGAATGACTAAATAAATTATTAAATTTATCAAATACATACTTAGTTTCAAAAATATCAAAACACACACGCACAGATGATGCACTCCTTAAACTTTTATGTAAACATGTCTCTGAGAAAAGTATCCTACTTGTGATTTTTATAATTATTCAAAATAAAAATTTCACAGGTTGACACATCTAACTACCCATGGTTAACAAGGATTTACTAAATACTTCTCATCTCTCCCCTTCCCTGAAAACTAATTCCTTTGTGCTCTGGTCATAAATTTCATTTATT